CCTTTGGGAACAAATGGCACTTGAGACACATTTAAGGGTGTTGCTTGTTCATGTCAAAGTCATGCAGAGGACTTAGCTATCGCGGACTAGAAAACACAAGTGCTGGTACAGAGTGAGTGTGTAGGTGTGTCTCTTTTCTTCCAAACAGGCAGGTGGCTTTATTCTACTGCTCTTTTTCATTTCAATGAGGAGGTTTCTCATTTTATCGGAAGGTGGGATTTCCATGCCTAGTCTTTCAGATGTCTAATTTAGGAAACTTTCTCTCTTAGAATTGTGCAACTATAATTCTACCATAAAGAAGCTCTGGTGGCACAACAGTTAAGTGCTCAGCTGCTAACCAAAAGGCTGGTAGTTCAAACCCACCCAGCAGCTCCATGGGAGAAAGACCTGGAGATCTGCTCCCTAAAAGATTACAGCCTAGGAAACTCTATGAGGCAGTTCTACTCTGTCACATGGGGTCACTATGAGTCAGAAATCAACTCGACGGCACCAACAACAACAATTCTACCATGATAACTGCTACTGTCAGAGAGGAAAGAGCTCTTCTAATTTCTCACATGCTCAAGGCTAAAGTTTCTGGAAACTTGGTATCCATGGATTTTAGGCTATTTGAAAACCTGATATCATGCTTGGATTATATCTTTTGCAGAAAGGAGCTAATATAGCAAGCCTGAGACTACGACCCTTATAAAGACTTGCTTGCAAGGTTGGTCCTTGGCTGGTGTCTGGGAACATGGCAGGTGAACAGTTTCCTACACTGATATAAAACTTACCCAAAAAATGATCAGAGTGGCTTACTGTGCCTAAGCTGTTTGTACAAACAATGTAGGTTATCCTAAAACATCTGCTTTGTTTCCTGAGAGTCTAGAATTTTGGTACATGCTAGGAAGAGGGTGCCCACTAACCAAAACATGTTGCCGTTGAGTTGATTCCAACTCATGATGACCCCATGTGTTACAGAGTAGAACTACTCCATAGGGTTTTCTTTGCTGTAATCTTTATGGAAGCAGATCGCCAGGTCTTTCTTCCCCAGAACCACTGAGTGGGTTCGAACCACTGACCTATAGGTTAGCAGCCTAGCACTTAACCACTGTGCCACCAGGGCTTCTGAATTAGGTTAGTAGTTGAGGACATAACATCTGTGCCACATACATGACCAACTCCCAGTAAAAACCTTGGACACTGAGTCTCTAATGAGCCTCCCCAGTAGACAACACTTGTTACAACTTGTCACTGGAGGAATTAAGTGCACCTGTGTGACTACACTGGACAAGGACTCTTGGAAGGTTGTACATGGTCTCCTCCATACTTTGCCCCCAAATGCCTTTTCCCTTTCAGATTTTGCTTTGTATCCTTTCACTGTAATAAATAACACCATGAGTACAACTATCTGTTGAGTGCTGTGAATCCTCCTAGCTAGCCAAACCTGGGGGCTGTCTTGGGGACCCCTGACACATATCGCCATGATTAATCTACAATCTCAGACATCCTGTAGAAATTTACTTTTGGAAACTCAGAGCCTTTACAGGTGTACATCCATTTCTCTAAGAGGTGTGAGTACTTGTTGTTGTTGGGTGCTGTGGAGACAATTCTGACTCATGGCGACCCCATGTATGTAGAGTAGAACCTTGCGCCGTAGGGTTTTCATGGACCTTTCAGAAGCAGATCGCCAGCCAAGTGCATTAACCATTAGCAGCTGGTGGGTTCAAACCTCTGACCTTTTGGGTAGCAGCCACCAGGGCT